AACCCATCCAGAGGACCTACTTATTTTTTCTTTATTTAATTTTTATTGTATTTACATTATAACTAAATTAAATACACTTACAGTTTAAAAGTAAAACTCCTGTCAAATAATCACAAGACGTGATTATAACAAACATTTTTTTTATATTGTAACCTGCCCATAACAATTATTTGAACAAATACAAAGGTCAGACCACTCAGGCTTATCAGCACAAAAAAATATTTTTTTAACAAAAAATAACAAAAATAGACAATTCAGTAAATAAAATTGTGGTCATAAAATAAATACATTCAAAATGTTTAATGTAAATGTTTAAAATAAACAAAAGTAAAACTAAATTTGATAAAGTACAAATGAAAATAAAGCCTTAAACTTTTACATGGTAGAAACAGAAGCTGCACTTCATATTAGTGACAAACTTTGGTGTTTTTTGATGGGTTACTTTCATTTTTGCTTCTACTTTTAATTTAAAATAAGTTTCTATTCACAGCAGGTTTCTAAAGTTCTTCTTCTACATATTAAAAAGTTGTTAAACATCTGAGTGGTGCACTACTTCTACTAGTGGTGAGAAAGTGTATTGCACCTTACTCAAAATCAATGCGGCCCTCTGCGGCCCAAAGTTAAAAACTGTTGTTCTTTTGAGGCCCTCAAGATGGCGCTTGCGGCCCACAACTGGGCCGCGGCCCATGGGTTAAGAATCTCTGTTCTATACAACAACAAAAACACACAAAGGACTCAAATGCTTTACAGAAGAATTAATAAATTCAGTTAACGCAGCATAAAATTACAAATATTAGAACGAATCTCAAATCACAGGTGAAGAGATTCAAGATGTTTACGACATGTTTGTTCATATCTGTATTTAAACTGGATCAATCAATAAAAAGTGACCAAAACTCTGACCTGCAGGCAGTTCCAGACCAGGACCAGGACCAGAACCCAGCTGCCAGGTCAGACCATGCGTCCTTCCGTTATAGTAGTTAGAATAAGGTTTTGGCTGCAGGATGAGGCTCTTATTGTGATGTTTTCTGGACCAGGAGGGCGGGCCTTACTGCAGAACTCCCAGCTGACCAATCAGATGCCGTCCCACTCCGTCAGTCAGAACAAGCCATCTGATTGGCTGCTCAGGTTTCCTGCGCACAGAATGGTCACCGTGTAAGTTTCTGTTGAGTTCCTGGTGTTCAGAACCAGACCCACGTGGGTTCTCAGGGAGGTTCTCAGACCCGGACCCATGTTCTGACTGTGATTTGCAGAGTGTCCCGCTCGGAGACGTCAGGAACCCTGCCCCCCAGCTCCGGCCTGCAGGCTGTGTCTCAGTACACGAAGGATGTTCTGGTTCTGGAGGGCTCGGAGTTGTGCTTTGAGGAGGTGCGAGCGGAGAAGTTCTTCAGACAGCTGCGGGACGCGCAGGAGAAGCAGCAGAAAGCGAGCAGTGAGTCCCTGCAGCAGATCACATCAGGTTGTGTTGTTGTTGTGTTGCGATGGTTGTGTGTTCTCCTCCAGTGGAGCTGCAGCTGAGACAGCAGGAGGACAGAGTTCAGAGGATGAAGTGTTTGTTGGACCAGGTCAACCAGGAGCTGGAGACCCGAGCAGCTGTCAGCGGCCAGACGTCTTGTCAGCAGGTCAGAGCTACAGAACCAGATGTTGGACCTGTGTCGGTTCCTCCATGTGTCACAAACCTGCAGCTGTCAGCATCAGGACCAGCCCGCCTCCCCACAGCCCCCAGCCGCCTGAGCAGCCGCCGCTCCCTCGGCCTGAGCCTACGGGCTGAGCCCACCTTCATCCAGAGACCCCCCTCTGTCCCCGATCCTCTGCAGGAGGTGTCTCAGTGTCCTTCAGTCCTACCAGAACCAGATGTCCATCGACCTGTGGGTCTGGACCACATGAACCGGTCCCTCATCAGAACCGCTGATGTTCTCCATCAGAGCAGCTCCCAAAGCCACGGACCCTCTGAGCCCCCGCTTAGGGACGCCCCACTGAGGGACGCCCCGCTGAGGGACGCCCCGCTGAGGGACGCCCCGTTGAGCGACGCCCCGCTGAGGGACGCCCCGCTGAGGGACGCCCCGCTGAGGGACGTACCGCTGTGAGTTCCTGCTAATGTTTCTGAACGTCTCTGTCCCCATGTCTTTCTGTCCACACGTCTTTCTGTCCCCATATCTTTCTGTCCCCATGTCTTTCTGTCCACACTTCTTTCTGTCCCCATATCTTTCTGTCCACACTTCTTTCTGTCCCCACGTCTTTCTGTCCCCATGTCTTTCTGTCCATACGTCTTTCTGTCCACACGTCTTTCTGTCCCCATGTCTTTCTGTCCCCACATCTTTCTGTCCCCATGTCTTTCTGTCCACACGTCTTTCTGTCCCCATGTCTTTCTGTCCACACGTCTTTCTGTCCACACGTCTTTCTGTCCACACTTCTTTCTGTCCACACGTCTTTCTGTCCCCATGTCTTTCTGTCCACATGTCTTTCTGTCCACATGTCTTTCTGTCCCCACGTCTTTCTGTCCACATGTCTTTCTGTCCACATGTCTTTCTGTCCACATGTCTTTCTGTCCACA